CTCCTGGGTTCAAGTGATTCTCCTGCCTCGGCCTCCCAAGTAGCTGGGATTACAGGCTTGTGCTACCACGCCCAGCTAATTTTGTATTTTTAGTAGAGACAGGTTTTCACCATGTTGGTCAGGCTGGTCTTGAACTACTGACCTCAGGTGATCCACCCCTTGGCCTCCCAAAGTGCTGGGATTACAGGCATCAGCTGCTGCACCCGGCCCTTTTTTTTTTTTTTTTTTTAAATAGAGACAAGGTCTCACTATACTGCCTAGGGTGGTCTCAAACACCTGGGCTCAAGCAATTCTCCTGCCCTTGGCCTTCCAAAAGTGCTGGCATTACAGCTGTGAGTCACTGCGTGTGGCCTAATTATGAAGATTTTAAAATACAACTTGAGGCAGGGTGCAGTGGCTCACGCCTGTAATCCCAGCATTTTGGGAGGCCAAGGCGGGTGGATCACGAGGTCAGGAGTTCGAGACCAGCCTGGCCAATATGGTGAAACTCCGTCTTTACTAAAAATACAAAAATTGATTGGCCACTACTCTCCAGCCTGGGCGATAGAAGAAGACTGTCTCAAAAAAATAAAAAACTTTGATAGGGAGAAATTCCTTTCCAGGTTTTCAGTTATGACTTACTGAATAATATAAAATAAAGTCATTAAAAATAGTAACAGAATGCTAACTTGAATATAATTTCTATTTTCCCCAATGGAAAAATAGTTTATTTCTTTTACAGTCTTCCACCTACCTCAGCATAATTGAATGAGACTTCTTTGTAGTCAAATTATCAAGTATCTATGTGTTGAACAGGCCTAGTGGACATTAATCCTAAAGCTCAACCATTTCTTTCAAAAAAGGAAAGCTGTGGGTCCATTAATTTATTTCACTTTAGTCAGTAATGGAAGACTTGTATTAATCTTTCTCAGAAGAATCTTTGTAAAAGGCCAGGAAAAAGCATTCAAATACAGTGTATCACTACACAGACCTACCTTAATCATGGTGGAAACTGGGTGCACTCGCCTAAGATTCTTCATTATACTCTCTGCCAAATCTGCTACAGAGAGTCCAATGGCCCAGGATGTGTAGCCTTTGAGTTTGATCACCTCATAAGCACTGGAGGATAGAAAACCATAGGTCAGGGCAGAAAAAGCAGGGTGGGAGAAAGAAAGAAAAACAAAGTTTTCATTAACACATGTTTTACAGTAAATAATGCCAAAATGTTGCATTATACCAAGAATAACTTTTGCACATGTACGCTAGGGATGTTCATTAACAGTACTGTTAGTAACAGCAAAAACATGACAATCTTTCCAATGTCCTCCAACAGAAGAATGGATAAATCATGGTATACTGATATAATGGGATATTACACAGGTATCAAAAAATAAACTATGGCTACTTGTACAAAAAAAGGGGATAATTCTTAAAAATATAATATTGAATTTTAAAAAGAAATCCAAGACAACATAGCATTCTTAACTCAAGATTATGTCAAGTGGGAGCGTGAGGGGGACAGAGGGATAGCTGGGGGAAAGAACGCAGAATCCACTTACTTCCAAACATCAGCGGAATACTAAATTCTGATTCAACAATGTTATTTGACAGATACCATCAGTGTTTCTTTCTTGAGCTGGGTGGTGGGTTCATAGGTTTTGTTTTTTTTTTTTGAGACGGAGTCTTGCTCTGTCACCCAGGCTGGAGTGCAGTGGCGCAATCTCGGCTCACTGCAAGCTCCGCCTC